ATCCAGTTGCGTTTGCTGATTTTACGCGACCCCAAAGATCAGCACCTACGGTTGCGTTTCTCGATTTTACGCGTCCCCAAAAATCGACAGGATCCGTTAAGCTATCGCCTCGTCCGATAGGTTCCGTCAGAGCTCTCGTTCTTGGTGGAGTTGGGCCTGTTCCATCCCAACTCCCAGTTTATACCGACTCGTCAGTTCCCGGTGAAAAAAGAATTGGCTGGCGCCCGCCTGGCTTGCGGATGCACGAACGACGGGTGGACGGCCGACGGTAACGTAGGTTGGTTCTTGAAGATAGTCGTATGTTTTGCAATCGGTGTCGAGTCATCAGTTAAAAGAATTACGTTACAATATATCAGGGTCATATACATACACATATATATAACCTACTTTGACAAAATAACTTAACCTTATTTGGTTCGAATTGTACACAGTGGAACTTTAACGAGTTCACGATGAATCCTGATTTTCCAAGCAAAATACCGGTTACGTGTGACGTCATTGGTCCCAGAAAGAGGTCGAGGACAGATTTTCTAAAAACGAGTTCAGTCCCAAAGGACCCAAGTAGCTGTCACTGTAATCTTTTTACATCTCAAGTCAGACTGTACATATGACTGTATAAATCGTTGCTGGCTGACAAGTGAATAAATAAATAAAATTGTTTGAAAATAATAAAAAAACTAAAATATCCACGAGATTTCAATTCTCCCGTCATTTTTTTTAACACTCACTCCGAATCTCGAATTTAATATTTTTCTGTGCTGTGAATAATAGAAGCGGAACTACAGTCCCCTAGCTGCAGCCAGGTACACTTAGTGCAAATAAGCATTGACACTAGGTCATAAGTTAAGCCCCGATCTTCGGTTAAGTTTACAGAGGCCAATCCGTTAACTTAAGTTATGCGGTCGCAGAGACTGTACACGAAACAGGACGTGCTTTCCCGTGGATTCGGGAGCCTATATCGAAATTAGATATTTCGGGAGCACTTTTGAAGATCGTTGTATAACAATTTAAATTTTTATATCGATACCCAAAGTTCTATACAAACAGCAGCCAAGGGTGAGTCTGTTGAGTAAGTCGAATTACGGTCCACTGGGGTTCGACTAGATCTTGTGAAAAGCTGCTGAGTAACGTTTACACGATGACTCTAAGAAAGATTGAAAAAAAACCACCCTTAAAAGCTCCACACGAATTCATGTCAACTTTTACAGTGGATATCAAAATCCGTCACTGACGTTGGGTAAGGCTTGTCAAAGGTCACAGAAGGTGCAACGGGAATAATTGGACGGTACAAAAATGACGGGTTGCGGAAGAAGAAGAAGAATAAAGGGGTTCGCTAGTTGGCCAGATAAGGGTGGCTTTCAACTATATTGAAGTAGTTTCGCTTCTATACGGGTGCAGCTTGTTCTTGAGTTGTCTCTGTTCTTCAGCTTCTCATTCTGGTCTTGCCTGGGTCTCTCGGAACCAAAAAGCCAACCAATGGTACTAGGCTACCCTTCGTTAATTCAAGTTTAGCAGTTTAGAAAAAAAGCTCATCCGTACGATTCTCCAGGCTGACGCTAATTACTTTGGTTAATTGCCGTATTCAAAGGGTAAATCGGGGATAATTCGCCGGACCACCTTAAACCCTTCGAACACACATATAGATATCGTACTTTGACTAATACGACGGTAAAAAAGCAGATGCTGTACCGACGGAGAAATCTCTTTAAGTCACTCAAAACATTTTTCTCTTATGCAGCTCCAAAGCTCGACCCCACATTAAGGGTAGGTATTTTCCAACCGCTTAATTTAAAACCCTTAGCCCATACCTGACCATCCATTATCAAATTCTCCGTAAGTTTAAAAAATTAATATTTAATCATTAAAAATTCTCAAGATTCATTCTGTCTACGTAAACATTGCTTCGATCGACTCGACCAATTAGCACGTGCCGACAAGCAATCCGCATAACCCCTTAATCCCTTTCGCCAAAAGTTAAGAAAGTCACCGAAAAGCTTACTCGTGAAATTTCACCGGGACTGAAAGTAAATTCCAATTACGGTATCGGCACGTCTACCCAGCTTTATATATATCGTGCTCGCCATTCCGAAAGAAGTTTGGGCCAACGTTCCAAAAACCAAATCCCACGAGGAACGACTCTAGTCTCGTATTCTCAACGTGGGTTGGTTATATTCGCCGAAACTTCACCGAACTAAGTTGCCTAATTGGCAGCGCCAGGATAATTAATCTGGCCAATTTCTGCAATTTAGCTGTGCCCCCCCCCCAGGCATGGCGAGTCTGCTTAACGTTCTAGAGGAACAAGAGATCAGCTTTCGTAACGAGATCTCCATAGCATCCAGCCGTCTTAATTCTTAGACACATTATACATATATACACATATGTAACGTATGAACAGGGATGAAGCCAGTCTTTGATATCAGTACTAATTCTTACGACAACCCCTAACTAAATCCCGCTGTTGATTTAGTATTAAATCTGCGGTCGGTATCGCTTGCAACCCCTAATTCATAAGGGTAGGTACCATCTACGTATACATAATACAGGATCCCCAAATTGTTACAGCTAACGAGAGAATGTAGATGGCGATGGCTCTCGCATTACTTCCGGTTCCGTGGCTCCTCGTGAACGCGCGTAGCGTAGATTGATCGTCGGGACGCTATACGCCGATAAACTCAACCCGCCGAATATTATGTACGAGCGTATAAGGGGAGAGATCGGAGAGCGTCGGGACGCTCTCCGTCGATTATAATTCGCATAAGGTCTTAGAGAAATAAGGGTTGGAATATATGGGAAGCAGGGTAAGTGGATATAGATATTCCTCGTGCTCGGAGTGGCTCCATCTATCGGACTGTCATTCAACCCCTAAAATACACGTAACTGATACTAGAAAAGCGAACAGTGTCTCCAGGGATCTGGTAACGTTTCTGTTCGTTACACGATATTAGAGTCATAGGGTGATGTATGGTCTTGTACTAAAGGGGTTGTCTACCGGGTAACACCTAGTACCCGGGATGCTGACGTCAACGGAAGTTGCACGGTACCACAGTGTGCATGTACGGTTGTGTGCATGAAATACACCTCTGTCGCAGTAGCGTCGATCGGAACCCAGACCCTCGATCCGGGAGGTATGTGAAAAAAATATGAGTGTCACCCGTTAGATGCCTGTCGGACGGACAGCCGATAAATTTTTATGACTTTCCCTTCGTAGCAAGCACGTGATTGGCTCTCGTAGGCTGGACAACTAATCGGTCGGCTGGGAATATAACGATATATATGCTATATACGAGCTATGAATTACACAGAGTTAAGGGTAGTTTCTTTTTAAATTAGATGTTATCATTATTCTATAGAGAGATGCTGGGGGGGTGAAACAAATCGAAGAACCCTGATAACACTGTCCAGATGTATCTGCATATACCGCCGTCGATGGATATCCACACCCCCTAGCACCAGAGACAACTTGAAGTATATTGACAGTTCGATACGACAGGGATGATTCTCATTAACGAAGTGTCATTCGCGCTCCGTCCTCGCCTTTAGATTAATCGCAGGCATCTCGAGTAATCGAAGGCTCCGATATTGCGACCTGACACTGCAAATCCAAAGGCGTAGCCAAGCGCGTTATTCCGTCTCGAATCTATGGCACTCATGTGCTTATCGTTTTCGAATATTCAAGGGTTAAAAAAACTCTTTACGCGCGCAAAAAGTGACTGCCATAGAAATTTTGGAAAAAAAATAGATTTGGTTGCGAAATTGAATTTAGACTTGGACGACTTACGTTAATATTAATTTCGGATTGGAACGGGAGTTACCGATCGCGAGACAATTTTTTTCGGGTGCGGACGCCAATGAAACTTTCGTACCGGATCCCCATCGCTTCGATAACAGTGGCGTAGCATACTGTATTATTTTTTTTAATCGATTGCTATAGGAGCGAACGCTGCAGGTACTGGGAAGAATCGAAGGATTTCATGTGGGGATCAGATTGACTTTCAGCAGTCCTGATTGGAACGCTCTTAAGATTAACGAGGATGTGACACGGTGTCTAACCTGACCCGAGCCAACCTACCCTCCGCACTACAGGTCAGTATAATTTGCACGTGGCTCCATCAGTAGACTTGTTTGCCTGGACATTGTCCAATCAGTGAACAAACTTGGGTCCACTTAACCGATCGATCCACGAAGACTAACTGGAGTGAAATTGGCTGGCGGGATGGGAAGGATGGGACTGGAGGAAGGGATGCTGTTTTAATCATTTTGGAAAATTTATTTTATCAATGATAAATTTGATCGGTAGATCGATCGCCGATCGATTTAAATTTATAATAATAATCATATACTCACATGGTATCGCCATCGTCGAATCGCTCGGATCCGGACTGTATTCCTCATTTGGAAAATAATCGATACTCGAACACTCGTATTCCATACGCGAACCTGTAATCAAAGGGAGATCTAATGAGCGTGTAAATTATATCATTGAATCCATAATCAATTCGCTCTTGTGACGTGGTACGTGAAATGAAACTTTTTTTTTTAATTTCAGCAGCGGCCAGAAGAAAATGCCTGGTTTCTCTTAGGCTACCGCGCGGAAGACCGAGAAAAAGTTCTTCGGACGAGTCTGGGTATTGTGATGGCCGATAAAAAAGAATCGGGAGGTTAAAGTGGAGAAGGGGTTAGCGGTTAAAGGATAGAGGTCAGAGATAAAGTAAAGCGCAATAAAGGCGGATCAAAAATCGCTTACTGCGGATTCCCCTGGACCGGAAATAATCGAATGAGAGGGAGATGCTCTTCTCGGCTACTTTTTTTATCTGCTTGGGTATCGTTTCGTCTTTATCCTTGGTCGGCTCTCTCTCTCTCTCTCTCTCTCTCACTCACACACAACGCACTTATACGATGTAAAAATTATCTTTCTACAAGTTGGAGTTCGGATCCTTACGGGTGGGTGGGGCTTCAATGAGGAGAACTACCCTCTCAAGGGTTCACCCCCTCGAAACGCTCTCCGGAGACAATAAAGGCCATAAAGTCAATCGTGCGGAACTATTAAGAGGAATTTTTCTTTCCATTTCCAAGTTCCGCCGTTGAAAATAAATGTGGCGAGGGAGGGAAAAGCGAAGCAGGAGAGTTCGAAGTCAGGTCAGATTGCACCGATCCTACGTAGAATCGAGGGACTTTTAATTCGAATGGCAACGCGAAGCGAAAGGCTTACTGTGAAATGTAAATTCGATTCCAGCAATAGGCAATGATCATTCTGTTATAGATATTGGGATTAGATAGCACGTGGACAGATACAGCGCTGATGCAATTGGATAGCTAATAGGGCGTAATAGAAATTCCCAATAGGCCAGAGGAGCATTCGGGCCAAGAGTCGATTAGCCGATAGTACCGAGCAGAGGTCGTGGGAGTAATCGCGTGGAATTTGGAGGAAAACAAAAAAAGGATTCTTACATCCTGTAATACCGCAAGAAGAAATACCGGCGATATCTGTGCTCGGTTCAGATAAATCGGTAACGCCATTCTCTACCCAGCATCCATTTGAATACAAACAGCTTTTCTTCCCTCATCCGTGCCTCTATAAATCATTCCGGCTCTATTAACGACGTCATTTCCGGTGCCCTACTCGTCCTTCTGCCTTGGAACTTTGCCCCCTTACCCTACCGTCCCTCGTACCTTTCTCCTATCGCCAGAATCCACCCTCTACGTCATCCCACGGATCATTCCCCCTCAACGACACGTCGAAAACTTTCGTTCCTACGACCGGGACATTTGTCAACGTTTGAATTCCAAACCTTTTAAATTATCGGCGGACGCATTCGGCTTGTTTTTATTACGAGGGTTGCGCCTCGAATCCTCGAACCTACCCCCGGCCACTTTCTTCGGGCACGTTTCCCGGCTCCATCGAACAGGGGTGGGATTTCATTCTGGGGGGTGGAAGGACGACGGAGGGTTATTGGCAATCTTAACGTCGCTATGGGGACAAATTGTTATGGATTTTACAAATTTTTTCTGTAATATTTATTTAACAATGCACTTTTATTATCATTACGCTGGCTCCAGTGACGTCGCTGGTTTAGATCTGTAGCCTCCTTTGTTATCTACTACGCAATATTTTTTCTATGGGCCAAACATCCCTTAGCTAAATTTATCATTGGCAATGGTATCCTGTCAATGCTAATCAATGGTAATCAATAAATTTTCATTTATCTACCATTAGTCATCTTTGATGTTTTTTGACAAAAAACCATTGCTGATGGTACATTTTTCTGAGGGGCATCCTTTTTTTTGTTTTTTAATCATATTACAAAAGGACCAATCTCCAATGAACGAAATAATTTTTTTTTCATCTCTATAAAATATATCATACGTCCTAATTAGTCACGAGGCAGAGAAATCTCAAAGGGAAAAGGGTGTCGCCATCTTCCTTCATGATGATCCTTACGACTTAATAAATATCACCTTACATAGAAACCCCTCTCATTATTCTTCACTATGAAAAAGCTTAGCCAGTCCGGTGACGTCAGTATGCGATACAGTAGCTTCCGTCAAAACAGCAGCACTTCCGGTTATTGGTGGCAGAGAACGTGCTGCCGAATTCGGACACCCTTAGAGCGAAGCTTCCTTCGCCACGTTACCGGAGGAGCAAAAATTCCATGTCTACCTCACAGGTCCAGTATAGTTACACAGAGGGTTGAGACAAAGGGTGCGATCGAAGAAGGGGAAATAGAAAGAACGAAGAAAAAGAAAAAGTAGGATTGAAAGTTGGATATTTCTATAGCGATAAAAGTGCCGATGGTTTTTCCTCTCTATTGTAGGTCTCCATGCTTGGAACCCTTCGAAAGATTATGGTCTGGGTTCTAGGTTCAATACCTTTCGCTGCCCTTGGGATATCAAGCATACCAACCCTTAGTGAAAGCCACTCTTTGAAGTCTGAGCACGATTTTTTTTCTCCTGAAACTGAAATACAGTGCGGCACGATATTGCCTACAGTCTTTGCACGTTAAACGAATCGCTGTTTACGTGATGTGAGAATCCGGACTTTTTCTTTTTTTTCGCAAAGACTGCACCTCCAGTCTTCCATAAGGGCTGGAAGCTTCTGAATTTTAACGTCAGAGGGTGCCGTTTGGCGTCCTCGCTCGAAAATCTCATTCTTCCTACTTAGTTTGGGTAACTGGAAATGGGGCTATGGGCCAACGGGACTTCCGGATAAGCAGTGCAATGGGGGTTGTTTAGCATTCACGGCACCCTCGGGTGATACATCACGACCCCTAACTGCTATCTTTTGTCCCATCGTCAACGGTAACACCACGACGGCGTACGTCTTGGTTTCTCTCCTTTCCGTGATACTCCTGAGATGAAATTGCCATGGGCTGTAGGTACTCGTGTGATATTACCGGAAGTGTCAAGGCTTTATAGGGTAGCGACTTCCGGAACGGGATATGGCTAAGGAAATGGGTAGCAGCAGTGCCATCTGATGATCATTCGTGGCGTTTGCATCTTTACAATATTAATCGACTCCAGTAGGACGTTTCACTGTCTACCGTTAATGGTATTCATATACCGTGCGATTCATTCGGACGGAAACGTATGAAACTAAATCCAATAGATGAAAGTCGATTCTTCTGATACGTGCAATCGTCCTACCGCATATAATTCTGTGTCTTATCAATTCCATCGTACGACTTTCTCGTTAAATGAAACTGAAAAATTTTATTTTCCACGTAATTTCACACTTCCCCGAATAATCGAGCGAGAAGCTCTTGGGAACTCAGTAGGTAAAGAAGAAACCCTTAAAAAATATCATTCCCCGATTCGAATAAGTGCGTCATTTATAATGTCAAAAAAAAAATGGGGAAAAAAAGGCATTTTCAAAATTTACAAAATTCCTCTCTCCAGTAACCATTTCTCCGACCTACGAAATCCACAAATATCCTAGATATAAAATAATTATATTCGAACGTCAATTTGACAGCTGTCATCCGATCGCAATAATTTATAAAAAATATTTGAATATCTCTTGCCTATATACAAAATACGAAAAACTTTCGAATTCTTAATCACCCTTAAATATTCCAGCGAGCACAGGTCATTACTAAGGGTGGAAGCACCTGCCACTCAGGGTAGCTGGGTGCTGATAAGAAATGTCTGACAAGCAGAATCAATCATGATCCCGGCGTTGGCATTAGCAATGGGTTTTCCAGCACAGGCGTCCCACCCATCTAGTCTGTGAGAAACGGGAGGAAGAAACACACGCTGCTATAACGCTAAGGGATGACGGCAAGGTCTGTAGCTGTCGGGGGGTAAATGGGAAGAAACTCACGTAGCCCTTTAATTGGCTCACGTTTAGCTCCCAGCGAGCCAGCGGAATAGTAATAGCCACAACTGGCCTCTCCGACAACAGAGCAAGGGTGGTATTCGCGCGTTTCACTGGAAAGACTTGGGCAACCCTTAGCTAAGGGTGGTATCCATGTATCGGAAGACTTATTCGACAGTCGTTGTATCACCACCCTTAGAGAATTACATTCGAGGGCGTCGTCGCTTGAAATACTATTATTTCACCCCCCCCCCCCCCCCCCCCCCCCCCCCCCCCCCCCCCCCCCCCCCCCCCCCCCCCCCCCCCCCCCCCCCCCCCCCCCCCCCCCCCCCCCCCCCCCCCCCCCCCCCCCCCCCCCCCCCCCCCCCCCCCCCCCCCCCCCCCCCCCCCCCCCCCCCCCCCCCCCCCCCCCCCCCCCCCCCCCCCCCCCCCCCCCCCCCCCCCCCCCCCCCCCCCCCCCCCCCCCCCCCCCCCCCCCCCCCCCCCCCCCCCCCCCCCCCCCCCCCCCCCCCCCCCCCCCCCCCCCCCCCCCCCCCCCCCCCCCCCCCCCCCCCCCCCCCCCCCCCCCCCCCCCCCGGATTGAAGCCGATTGAACAGCCCTTAAAATAGATAACTGATCAATCAACCCTTGAAAATAAGCTTCGCAACGACGAACTATCCACGTAAATGAATTTTAGGGGGGATTTCTGGAAAACTGATTTCGGAATTCATCTCGCGTGTTTCAAACGTAACGGAGGGTGAAATCTTGTCGGGGAAGGAAAAGAAGAGCGACGGGAAGTCGAAAGGAAATTTGCCATTTCCTTAGAATTCGTGTTTCCCTTAAGCATCGGGCGGGAATGGGAGGCTCTAAGGGATGAAGGAGCCTGATATCACGCGAAAGCAATTAAAAGACAATATAACAAGGACCACTCGGTCTTCGGTAGTGGATAGAGAGTAACGATCGATCGGCAGCTAGGAATTTAATTAAATCACTAATTTTATTGGCGACGGATACGCCGAGTTTAATTGCTCCCGACTCGAAACCCCCCCTTGTTCGATCTTCGAATGTCAACCGGAAGGAGACGAAGGAGTTGTTAGTCTTTTGTCAAGGGTCTCGTCCGATCCTACCTCAAATTAGCTTCTCAGC